CGGGCGGCTGGGGAGGTCGGGGCCCCCTCGCGCGCCGAAGGGGGCTGCATCGAGCGGACGTGGGCAGCGCGTGGAAAGACCGCGGGCCGCTCCCCAGGAAGAAACCTAGGTTACCTGGAACCCGAGACCCCCTTTAGTCAGTCCGATTTTCATGATCGAAGTGTCGGAAGCTCCCCGAGAACTGCCGTGCAGATGCTAGCGGGCCCAGAGCCCGGGGTCCGCGCCCTCCGGGACTTCGGGAGCTGTCCTCGCTCCCTCCCTGCCCTGCGCTCCCCTAACGCGGGCTACCCCCAGCCTGGAGGCGGACATGACTCCTCTCTGTCCTCCTCAATTTCAGAAGGAAAACACACAAGGTAAGGATCCACCAAGCATGCCTCTTGGTGCGGCCTGTCCTGCCCCTGCTTGAGCGGAGATGGTGCTTCAAGGGGACTCAGTGGAACCAGTGTCGCCGCGAGCCCCACAGTGAGTGGAGTCCCTGAGCCGGAAGGCACCTGGCAAAGCCAGCCCAGGTCTGTGACCCGCTCTCCAGAGTGCGACATGTCACCAACTCACCCAGGGCCGGTGGGGCCCAGAATCCACATTTCCATGTTAGGCTTGAGCACAGCGGACCAAATGCAGCGCTGGCACAGGTCGTGTATACCCGACCCCGGAGGGACTTCCCACTCGGAGAATGTAAGCACTCTAGGAGCACACAGGGGCATGGCTGGGTGTCATTTTTGGAAGGAAAGGAAGCAAAGAAGTTGCTGTGCTCTTCACTTGGAAGCTCCTTAATTTAAGCACAGGCATATTTTTGACAGTGACAATTATTTGCAACACAGTATCTTACACATCACTATCAAGGAGAGGATAGTACACAGCAGCCTCAGTATATGCTTTGTTTATGACGTATTCACTCCATAAACATATCCTGAGCTCCTATTAAGTACATGCCGACTAGGACACCAGGTGGGAAACTCCAGAGAAACAGGGAGCCTGACCTGAGGAACTCACCACCGGCCAGGTGACACCAGGAATCACAGTGTTGGATGGTTTCTTAGCTCTATTTTTGTCAACCATAGCCACCAAGCAAATGACATTAGTGAGTAAATTCTCACCCTATTTAGCTTAGAATGGAGAGCACCTTCTGGTTACTAAATAACCCTGGCAGACAACACCATGGCAGGAATAAACTTGGCTATAAACTCAAATGTGCAACAAACAGAATTTTTTTTTTTTTTAACCTGAAGCTTCTTTCTATTTGAAGGCCCATTCCTCTGCAATGACAACAATCCTGTCACCAGGAGCCCCCCCCCCCCCCAGGGCTGTGCCAAGGCTGGAAGGGTTGGAGCCTCACCAGTCCTGGGATAACTGGTCCACAGGAATTCCAAGATGTTCTTTGTCCACTCTGGTGTTTGGATATTGGTCTTTAGCTTCAGGCTTATGCGCTGTGTGACTTCCTGGCCGTGAGATGTGGCTGAAGTCTCCAAGGCAGCCCTGCTGCCCGGATGGACCTGAAGTGTCACCCAGAACTTTTGAAAATCCAACTGCCTGCGCCTCCTCACTGATTTCCTAAACCAGGAGTGTGGAGCAAAACAGAGTCAGAAAACTGCAAACTCTCGGACTCCGCTCTGCCCAGGAAGGCAAAGCATTACCATTCCTCCTTCCTCAGAAGCGGGACAGAGCCGTGCTTTCTGAATCTTGATCATTTTGTTTTAACCTCAAATAAAAACTCCCTCTATCCTGACATTCTTGCTTCAGAGGTATCTAGAATAGTATCAGTAGCTTTAAGCAAGGAGAGGCTTGCAGCAGGGAGAGAAAAAGGCAGCTCTTAGCTGCCACAAAACATTTCGGCAGATGAAGAGTCTGAGGCCTCAGGTTATGTGACTGGTCCAGAAAAACCCAGGGAAAAAGAGTACAACACAGGCTTGAACCATACTCTCACACTGTTAGTTTGCCTCCTACACCACCATCCTACCGCTGCACCCTTTAATGACCACCAAAACTCTCTAACACGTTTCCAGGAAAAGCAAGCGGAGAGGCATTTGACATTTCAGCTCCCAGCCTGACTAGCATTATCATTTCATTGCAGAGCGGAGGGCGCTGCAGAGAGGTGAGCAGAAGCGCTTGTTCTGTGTGAGAGTGAGAGGCGGGCCGCTCCAAAGCCTGCCCTTTCCCTAGGCTGCCTCCTACGGCCAAACCCCCTCCAGAAACCACGTGCTAGTTCTTAAGCACCCACTCTGTGCAAGCGTTACATACTCCCTACTCTGACCACTCACTCTCCACAGAAGGTACTAGTGCAGCACTTCTCTGAGGATGAAGGCTCAGGGATGAATTCACCCAAGGTCTCTGTGAAGTAGAAAACAATCGGAAGTGAGGTCTGCTTTCAAGCCAGGCTCCCGCCAGGATAGCTGCTTCCCGAGGAGGGAGATGGAGACACACCCCAATCATGCTAACTTCACCACTGTGTGTGAAACCCTCAGATGTTGGGATATGGAATGTCCTAATGTTAATACCATGATGCCAATACACTTCAAGCTTGTGTCGTCTGCTCAGTTTTCAGCCCATGATCAATCTGGGGCAAATCATTTAATCTCTTTCAGATCAGCCCCCTCAATACTAAAACAAAAGAACAGGACTGATTAGTTTTGGGTTTTTAAAAAAAAATTTTAGGACTGAGTAACTTTTAAGTTCTCTCCCAGCTCTGAAGTTCAGTTTCTACACACAGAGCACCACACAAGAATCATCTCTCAGATTTACTTGTCTTTTTGATTTAGCATCTCACTTATTTTCCATGAGTCATCAAGGTTTATCTTCTGGTATTGTTAGCATTCTTCACATTTTTGTAGACAATGCCATAATTTCCAATAGCATGATATGTCAAAGAAGAGGCAGAAAGTAAACACTGAGAATATATCGGTAAGTGTATCTTTAAATCTGCAAAAGCATTGGGGATATGTAGCTCTCCCATGAAGAATCAGAGAGGCAGCAGGAATTTTTAGTGGACTAATTACTAGAAATTGGACCATAGTTACACCTACAATAACCCGTTTAAACTAGTAACTGAGTCAGGTAGAAGAAACAAAAGAGACAAGGAAATCGTAACCAAAAAAATTGTACTGTTAAGAAGACTAATTTCTGTGACCCATTAAAGTCACCCAAGGTGATCCACATCCACATTCCCCCGCTTAAATCTAGGCTCCTTTCCTTCCACACCCACCACATCCAAAATTCCTCAGAACACTGATGTCCATAAACAGGCTTCACTGAGAAAGGAAGGAGCAGGCACCTCATCATAAAATGCGAACAGGTTAAGAGAATTCGAAGAATCCTTAAATTATCCATCTAAAAGACAAAAACAAAACAACAACGAAAAAAGCTCGGTTCATACCTGTAATATGGGCCAGTACCCTCTGGGGGGTGGGCCTTCTATTATGCCCTCCCCCAAGAAAAACATAAATGATCCCAGTTCGAGGAAGTAAGGGACCCCTCCTCTCTTGAGAGCCTGCACAATGTCTGAGCGTTCACCATTTAACCTCTTCCTGATAAATCTCCGTGCTTCCTTCTGACCAGTTCTAAGAATTCTTTTTTCCAGACAGGGGTCAGCGAACCTGCAAACATTCTATAGGTACGGTGGGTTTGGTTTGTATCTCAGTTTTGGACCCTCCTCGGACCCTGTCCGGTGACAAAACGGTTATCGCAATTATTGTGTCGAGAAAGTGACTCGGCTCTTAGTCTTGCCTTTTCCTCATTCTGTGATTTTGAGCAAACGATCCTCCCCGCGCCTCAGCGTCTTCATCGAAGCAGCATTCTAGCAATATGTACCTCGTAAGGCGGGGAGGCATGAGCTACTCCATGTCAACCAGAAAAGTCTAACAGACGTCCGGCTGTCGCTCCCGGCGCATGGCAGCCGGTTATCATTGCACTCCGGAGCTGGTTAGTTCAGAGTCATTTCAGGCATCTGGTACTTGAGTGCTTAAGAAGTCTCAAGCGCTGGCGTCTGGGGAATTAATGAAATCTTCTCTGGTCTTATTGCACTTGCGTTACACACGATCGGGGGTAAAAAGATGAAGAAGTTAAAAGAGAAGAGTAAGATAACTCCCGACGCGACCAGCGCCCCACCTGGGGTCACGTGTGCGCGCTCTTCCGCGTCGGCTAACCCGGCAATCCCTGTGCCTCTGCCATTGGACGTCACAGGAGGCGCGCCCAATGGTGGCCGCAGAGTGAACTTCGCTCTGCCCTCTTCCCGCGAGGCTTGACGCGCCATTCATCTCTCCGGTGCACGTCCCTTTCTTTCGATTTGTCATTGGCCAGCGGGCACCGCCCGTGGAAGGCGTGGCAGGACGCGCGGCGCAGCAGAGTGACGATACACACGGGCGTCCGTTCGTTACGTCACTTCCGGGACGCTTCCTCGCGGAGCCTTGTGGGTAGCCGGCCGGGGGTCTCCTGGCGACGACGATGGCGGGGGACGTGGGCGGACGCAGCTGCACAGACTCGGAGCTGCTGCTGCACCCGGAACTGCTGTCCCAGGAGTTCCTTCTTCTCACTCTGGAGCAGGTCGGGCGCCGGCGGAGGGAGGGAGGGAAGGCGGGCGGCCTGCCGGGGGAGGCTCGCCCCGAGTGGCCCTCGGTGACGACCGGCTCCCCGCCGCCGTCCCACCTCCCGCCGGGCTGGTGCGCTCGGCCCAGGGCCAGGCGGTCCTTCCTCGGCTCCGCCCGGAGAAGAGGCGGTCCTGAGTCTCAGGAACCCTGCGAAGTAGGCCTGAGCTGGCGGGGCCCTCAGTGCGCCGGAGAGGGGTCGCAGGGGAGTCCGCGGGCTGCGGGTAGGCGAGCGCCGGGGCGGGCAGGGACTGGGCGAGGAGGTCGTCGGGACCGCCGGGGCTGGGAAGCCACCGAGAGCTCTTCGTTCCGCCCTCGCCCGCACCTCGGCTCTGGAAACTGAGCCCCAGAGGGTGCAGTGGCTCGTTTAGGGCCCTACGTGCTGTGTACGTGGTGCGCTAGCGCAAAATTCAGGCTTCCCGGCTCTCCGTGTAATATTTGGCCTTTGCAGCTGGCGTGGCCTCTGAAAATAGGTTAGCAGTGAGGAAAGAAGTGGTGTTTAAAGTGAACAGTTTACGGAAAGTTTTCCTTAGGGTTTATGTAGCCTGTTTCGCAGTTTTCCATGTGTTTCCCCCGCGGTACTGCATTCTTCTAATTTCTTGAAGCTGTCCCGCTAAATACGTTATTTTAGTAAGGACCTTTCATTTGAGACTCTCAAACTGTAAAGCCCTCTGAGTACCAGCCGTGGACTTTTGTTTTGTTTTGTTTTTTTCCGGTATCAGTAATCGAACTCACAACCTTGCACTTAGCAGGCAGGCGCTGTGCCGCTGAGCTAAATCCCCAGCCCCTAGACTTTTAAAAGAAATCGCGGAGCTCATCTTCAGGTTCTTCGTAGATTTGGGATGTGGACTGAAAATTTGCAGTTTTAACCAGTTCTTGCTGCTGGTCCAGGGACTGCACTTTTAGGACCACTTCTAAATTTCTTAAACAGGGAGGGTTGAGTTTATCACAGGGCAGCCTTTTCCAGCCTTTCTGAACTGAAGTTGAAAAGCTTATCTTTTTCATTCTTGTTTCTACCTCCTGAGTCCAGGCTGCCTCTATAATTATCCCTGCGCTCATCCTACATGTCTTCTATGTGTCGGGAATGCATTTTAGGAAGCGAGGTTGTTTAGATATGGGTGGTCAGCAGTAATGGAAAGCTACATGAAGGGAGCAGGAGAACCCAGGTGAGGACAGGCTGTTCTGGTGAGCTGCTGTCACCATCCTGGGCAGGGGCTGCAGGCTCCTTCTGCCGGACTGTTTGACACTGTGGTAGCCAGCCTTAGGAAGCACGTGGGGGCTCAGTGGAAGAGCACATACTTAGTGCACCTGAGGCCCTGGGTTCGGTTCCTAGCAACAAAGCAAGACAAAAAGGCACTGCATTAGGAAAACATAAAAATAACACACAGCATGTAGGGCTACACCTGGGACTCCGTCTCACCAATCTGATCATAATAATGACACCCAAGGAAGCTTATTGGCAGAATGGAGTAATTACTAGCATTGTTTTGTGTGTTTTCCCCAGGCAGGCCTCTGTTTTTAGTTCTCAATAGCTGATGTTATTAGAAATGTCTTCATGCCTGGAATATTGTCCCAGCAGTTGTTTGTAGCAGACCTTGTGACAGTAAGGATATGTGACCATTATCTTTCAGTTGAGGCTGAACTCAGTATTTACAGGCTTTAACCTGACTGTAATACCACATTTAAAGTAACTTACAGCCAGGCATGATGGTGCACGCCTGTAATCCCAGCACTCGGGAGGCTGAGGCAGGAGGATCCTTGGGAGTTCGAGACCAGCCTGGGCTACAAAGTGAGCTCAAGGCCAGTCTGAACTGCACAGTGCAACCATGTCTCAAAAAAAAAAAAAAAAAAGTAACTTATGGGGCTTTAGGTGCACGTATGATTGTGAGAATGGTTTTATAATTTATTGTTTAAATAATGTTTTACCATTTTAGGTAGGTAGTTATTAAAATGAAAGATGTTTGGAAATAAACTTTTTTGTTTCCTTCTCTGCAGAAGAACATAGCTGTTGAAAAAGATGTAAGAATAAACAAAGACAATCTGACGGATCTTTATGTCCAGCACGCCATACCATTGCCTCAGAGGGAACTGCCAAAGAATAGATGGGGGAAAATGATGGAAAAGAAGAGAGAACAGCATGAGATAAAAAATGAGCCTAAAAGGTACTTTGTGATGGTGCTAGTTTTTATTCTGTCTTACATGACTGAACAGTTTTGTGTTTTCCCAGCTAAACTTAAGTTAAAAAAATCATTCAGCTGACTATTTACTGACATGAGACACTGTGGTTATAGCGGTGAATAAAATTCCCTGCTCACGTGAGAGAAGCGCCTTAAAAGTTAAGTGTATGGTATGTTACATAGTGAAAGATGCTAAAGGCAAAGCATGAAGAATTAGTTTTTGGCAGAGTGGCCAGGAGCAACTTTACTGAGAAGTGACATTTCAGGGGAGAGGCCTGTAGGAAAGAGAGAGCAAGCTTGCATCCCAGCACAGTACAGGAGTGCGGGCAGGAGTGTGCCGCCTGTCGCAGGTGAGGTGTGATCACTCATAATGCTGACTGGCTTAAATTTTTAAAATGTGTTACTGTTACACATTACTACTAATTCCCCTCAAAACATCCCCCCAACACACTTAATCCCATTATGCTTGCTACTTACAAAGTTTCGGAAATCCTTTTTCTTGAGTATCTTTAGTTGTGCTATTAGGCTGCCTGGATTTCCAGAATCAAACATGTACCTTTAGCTGTGCATGGTGGCTCATGCCCGTAATCCCAGCATTTAGGAGGCTGAGGCAGGAGGCTCATTGTGAGATTGAGGCCAGCCTCCGCTACAAAGTAAGTTCAGGGCCAGCCTGCAGTGCATAGTGAAGCTCTGAAGCACCTTTCCTGCTCATTTTGACTTTGGGGAAGAGCTGTAAGTCACAGGGTGCCAGATCTGGTGAATAAGGTGGATGAGTACAGAAAACCCTTCTAGACCTCACCAGAGTCCAGAGGCATCCACGTTTGTAACCCTGTGGGAAAGTTAGTGGGATTCTCATAAGTTAATTCCAAACTGCCACTTCGGTGTGACGTGTGGCAAGAACAGAGACACTACGGCGTGTCTGTAGTCGTGGGGACCCGAGGGGCCCTGAGTCGGGGCAGAGTAACGGCTGACTGAGACACAGTCCTCAGCCCAGCGCCCAGCCCAGGTTTTATTAAATGAGGAGGAGGGGAGTGGCTCAGAGGTAAGTGTGGCTGTGGTGGGAAGTATGTGAGTACTGTGAGCCGGGCTGGTCAGAGGCCTGAAATCACCTCTGCAATCTGCAGAGAGCAGGATATGCAAAAAGAGTAATCTGCGTAACAGCTGGAGGCAGTATCTAAAGTTTCGGGGTCAGTGCTTCACCTTCGATGTGGGCAAGGGCACTCACACATACTGTGGGGGAGCTGGAGGCGGGGCTTCACTGACCGGTCAGGCTGCTTCAGAGACCACACATCAGCACTCAGCTAGACCCATTTGCAGTGTCCCAAGCCAGCTGTGCACACATCAGGACACGGAAACAGCCAGGTTTAGGCAAAATGCTCTTCTTTCGAGGAGAGTTGTCCAGGTGGTCCTCCACAGACAGGAGGCCTGTAATTCTTTTATCTGACAGGAATTACTCGAAATGTTTTGAAGTGATTCAGGACGTTGTGCCAGCCACAAAAAGCCTCGTGAAAGAGGACTTCTAAACTGTTTCTGAAAGTGGCCGAAATGGTTAGATAAGTGTGTTGTAAGAAAAGAGGGGTATGTGAGAGGGGCTGACGGCAGTGTGTCTTCTACTGTAGCAAGTCTTAAGTTCTGTTTGTGCGTTCAGTGTACTCTGTGATCACACCACTACCAGGAGTAGCAGAGTGGCCGCTGGGCGGGAGTAGAGGGAGTAGGACGTAAGGGCTGTACCTGGGATGGGAGGGTATATTTGGTGGGCTGGCACGTTCTTCAAGAGCTTTGGCTTTGCTCTGAGAAACCACTAGAGGGTCTTCAGCCAGATGCCATTTTAACAGGACCACTGTGACCGCCCCTGAGAGGTTCAAGGTGAGAATGCTGCAAGGTGGAGGCGCTAGAGCCAGTCAGGAGGCCCTGTGGTCATCCCTGCAGTACATAGTGGCCGCTTGCACTAAGGGGGTGAATTTGATAGGTTGAGGTCTGTATGTATTTGAGGTAGAACCAATGGGATTTGCTGAACTCTGGAGAAAAGATGACAGGTAAGACCCTAAGGTCTTTGAATAATGCAGAAGCAAGGATCCTGTCAGCTAGTTTCAGGTACACAGATGAAAATTTTTATAAATTTCAGAAGGTTGTTCATAAAACCACATGCCAGTGGCTTTGCTTTTTTTTTTTTTTTTTTCCTGAGACGGGGTCTTGCTGCGCAGTTCAGGCTGACCTTGAGCTCACTTTGTAGCCCAGGCTAGCCTCGAACTCAAAATTATACTCCTTCCTCAGCCTCCCAAGTGCTGGGATTACAGGTGTGCGCTACCGTGCCCGGCCATGCTTTTTGAAAGAAGGTTGGGTATTACTTGATCAGTGTCGTGGCTAGTTAATAAGGACAGAGTGTTCTGAGATCATTGAGTACGGAAGTTGTCTCTTTGCCTCTGTCTGTGTTACCACAGATGGGTGCTATGTGCTTTCTTTGGGGGCCTCTATTTGTGGGGCGCTGTTCTGGGTGATACATTGGAGCCAGTGGGAGAAGACAGGGTAGAGGGCTGGGTACAGAGGAATACATAACCTCCGACTAGTGGTGTTAATCTCTGGTTTCAAAGAAAAACTCACAACTGAGAATATTCCCCAAGGCTGAGAAGATAGGATGCTCATTGCATGCTCTTTGTCTTTTGGAAAATGAATGCAAAAACAATAGCAAAAATAGCAGCAATATAGAAAAAAAACAAAACAAAGCTAAAACAGTAAAAATGATACAGGGTTTCAGAACAAAAGGATAGGAATTAACAGTGGTTGTTACATTACATATTGTCATCTTCAATAGTCTGTGTGGATCAGGAACATATTTTGGTTCAGATTAAACATCCTTTTAGCTTGGTGGTTACATTTAAGGACAGGCTGTGTGTTAGTTTTCACAGACCTAAATTGTATTGCATATCCTTCCCTTTTGTGATACTGGGGATTGGACCCAGAGCCTTCATACTGAGCTGCACCCCAGCCTTTTTATGTTGCCTGGACTGAGCTTGAACTTGTGATTCTCATACCCAGCCTGAGTCAAAATAAAAAGAACTGGGCATGTAGCGCAATACAGAGGCTCTGGGTTTAATGCGCTGCATTGCAGAAGTAGATGGATAGTTAATAGTTGGATGGGTGGTTGGATAAAAATGGAAATTAGATTTTCAGAAGCTGAACATAGAAGACTCACAAATCTTTAGCAATTAGAGTTGGGTAAATGTTACAGTTATAGTTAGTGTAGAAAATGTATTACCCTTGAACACTCTTGGTAACTGGAATAGAGGGTTCTGCCTCTTTTGTAGACTGCCTCTTGCTATAGTTTTATAGTTTGCCATTCAAAATAACACCTGATTATGATTGTGTGGCCAGGATAACCCTGCCAGGAAGCCAGCAATTCATTGTTGTTACCTAGAAATCTATTTGAAGTTCTAGGGTCAGGTGGCTAATTAATGTTTGAAGAATACTCACATCTTGCATGTACATTAAATTAGCTAACTGGATTTCTTATAAATATTTTACACTTCAGTAGAAAGCAGTGGAAAATTAATTCTTTTAAAAGAGTAAGCTTGGAAAATTTCATTTCCAAGAATCCCACTTAAAACAGCCTTCTCAAGTAGGTTTTTTGGCTGTTGTTTTTAACTGGATTCCAGTGAACTGTTTTGCCGTCCCCAGAGGTATTTTCAAGAGCACATCTCTTTGATTTCAGGGGTGGCACTGTGGATGGGCTAAGGAAAAGGCCCCTCATTGTGTTTGATGGAAGCTCGACTAGTACAAGCATAAAAGTGAAGAGGACGGAGAACGGAGACCACGATCGTCTCAAGCCGCTGCTTCGAGCAGGCGCTGCCAGTGACCCCTTTCGAAAATTACCCAATTCCTCCTCAAGCGTCTCGCCCCTGATTTTGTCTTCCACTTTGCTTACCAATGATAAAGTAGAACACAGTGATAGTGACACTAAACAGAACCATGACTTAACACATAGGAAAAGCCCACCTGGCCCTGTGAAGTCGCCGCCCTTGTCTCCTGTTGGAACTACACCTGTGAAGTTAAAGCGCGCTGCTCCCAAAGAGGACACAGAGGCCCCGGTGAGTTTCTGGGGTTCCGTGCTAGCGAGTGGTGTGGAGGAGTGGCCCAGTGCTGCTCCTCCTCTCTGGGACCCTGGCATAGTCTGGAGTACTATGTTTTTTTGGTACTGGGGATGGAAGCCAGTGCCTCTGGCTTTTTAAAATTTTTTAAATTTTAAGGCAGGGTCACAGTGAGTCACTAACTTGCTCAGTCTGGCCTTGAATTTGTCATCCTCCTGCCTCAGCCTCCCAGAGTACTGGGATTACAAGCATGTAGCACCCCACCAGTCTGACTCTTACATTTTAGTGCTCATTTTTTATTGCTCATTTGAACCCTGGAATTGTAAAATCCACGATGATGTTTTTGTAGTCCACTCCATTTTGACTTCAAAATTGCTTCAGGTGGAAGTAATTATCCTAGAGTTCTCATTATAGTTCCTTCTCTCTTGTAACTGAAAAGAGTAATTCCTTTTTTAAGTGACATTCAGAAGCGTTGATGAAGTAGCCTCTGTGCCTTGATGTGAAATCTGTGTGCACCCCAGATCTCTCAGGTCTCTTCCTCTCCGCCTGGCTTGGGAGAGTGGGAAGTGTGGGTCTGTGGCATGCTCTGCTGCATCGGTGCGTTTGGATGCTTGGAACCCATCTGTTGGCCAGTTACCTAGTTCAGTCGCACGGTTTAGTCAGCATTTAATAGGGGAGGTACTTCTGCACTGCCACATATTAAAGGTGTTTTTGGCCCTTAGGCTCCTTAGGAACATGCATGTACTTTGAGGCCCTTTCAACTTCGTAAGTGTTACTCCCTAGTAGATTGACTCTGTCCCCGTCTAGTTTATGTCGGTAGTACAGACGTTCTGAAATTGGAGACCCTGGAAGAAGGAAGCTGCCTGGCCGTTTCCTTGCATTTAGTTCTTTGAATCCTTTCGGCCATCCTAGGGAGTGGGCACTGTTGTTACTCACTTCGGAGACCAGCCAGAAGAAGCTTGAAGGGTTCAGGGAGCTTGTTGGGGCTCTGGAGGTAGTGGATGCCCAGACCGAGGCGTGAGTTCAGCTCTGTCTGGTCCCAGGCACGCACCTAGGCACGCACTAGGCACAAGCTGCTTCGGTGCTTATCTCAGCATCTTCGTGGGGCAGCAAGGAGACGATGGGGTGAAAGCTGGGGGAGAAAAGCCGTGTTGTAGATGCCAAGGTGGAAGGAGGGAGCCTCCCCCAGGCTCCTGAAGAGCGTTTCTCAATTTGAGGGAATTGGACTCGCTCAGGTGTGAGACAGACAGACGGACATCTTCTCATACTGTTAATGTTTCTGTGCCACTGACATTGAATGTGAGTTGTGGGGGAGATGCCCAGGGCAGGTGGAGGGGACAGGGCTGGAGAAGGCAGGGTCTCAGCACTGCCCATTAGCTCCGCAGGTGGAGCCAGAGCCTGGAACAGAAGCTAGAGCCTCCTCTGCCACCTCTGCACTCCTCACTCCCCAGTTCTGAGCAGGCCGAACAGGAAGGGCTCTGCATGCTCTAAGTTACCCTACCGTGCATGCGTGCATGCGTCAGAGCTGCGAGCCCACTGGCCACTTCTTGGCCCGACCTGAATCCCGTCCCAGTAGGGGGCAGCAGTGTCATCTGCGCTGGAGCAGTGAGCGTCGGCAGTGCCTGCGGTATGACAAGTGTAAACTGGATTCTGCTCATGTCTTTTAGAACAACCTGAAGCCGCCAGAAACGAAGAGGAAGATACAGCATGTCACATGGCCCTGAAGGAAAGTGTCCAGAAATGTAAATGCAGCTGTAACTGTAGGTTTCAGATAAGTTCACGTCTACTGACAGTATTTACAGATACTGATTATTGTTGGATTTTCTTAAGAAGTTTAAAGTGGGTTAAAAGCAGTGCCCTTCCTTCTCTCCTTCCTTCCTTTTATCTTCCCTTGAGTAGGAAAGCATTTGTTTTTAAAATAATGGCGCCATATATGACAGTTATATTGTCCTGGTCCAGTTCTGAGCTGCAGGTATGGCATAAAACATCTGATGACTCTTAGGAATTATTCTCCTTAGTCTTTCAGTCTTTGGGGACAGTTCAGGTTTTTTTTAATTCCAGTATTTTCCTGGTTCACCATTTTTGTTAAGTGCTTCGTTCAAACAGAACCCCGCAACAGCTCGTGTCAGTATCTTAGCAGATCTCTCCACACTCGTGCCCTGGGGCTCACCATGACAGAGGTGGTTGCCCCGCCAGGAGGGTTCCCAGTGCTGGGAGAACAGCGCTGTCCTCCATTTCCTGGCCTGCTCGTTCCTGTGGAGGGTGGAGGAAGCCCGTGCTTGCTGCTGCTCCTTCCCTGACCCCGGCAGGATGAGAGACGGGAGCCCTGGCCCTGGACGAGCTGCTGGTCCACAGCCGTCACCCGGGTTGCTCTTCACCAGCAGTGTGGGCTGTGTTCATTCAGCCGAGACTCCCTGCTAGGAGCTTCATCTTTAAAAATGAAGTTGATTTAAAAGTCTTCGGGCGAGGCCCCCATACTGGAAGCTGAGAGGAAAAGTGTGAGTCGGACGCGGGAAAGGTAGGGGAGCCTGGGAGGGCAGTGAGGGATCCCTGTGCTCCGAGGAGGCTGTGAGCGCAGGGGCAGCGGGCGGGGCCAACCCTGGGGACCATCCGCAGAGATCTTTATTTTTGTGAGTGGTGTTGCCACTCTAACCTGGGAGTCGGTGACAAGATGGCATTTACATTGTAGTTGCGGGTTCTGGTGGCTGCTTTTCTGCTGGGTATTTGTAGCCAAGATGGCAGATCAGTGATAGTGATAACAAACAGCATGCTGTAGCACGAGTGCCATGGGTTCGCCACCACTGCATTATACTTTCTTCTGTGTATGATTGATCTTTAACTGGGGTTGGCCTTTTTCAGTACGTTTGAGAGGACTGTTACTCCTCTTGATTTGTTAAAATAAGCATTTTTGTTGAGCTATTTAATGTCTTTACTAAAAATTAATTCAGCCTTGTAGGTAAGTACTATGTCAAGACCATAGTTTTGATCACTCTACCTTTTTCCAGGCTAAATATGTATACGTCAGACAGAATTGACTCATGCTAAGCTTATGTACACTTTGGGTTTATGGTACAGTTTGAAACACATTGTTACCTGCAGGGCTGATGGCATTCTGATCTTACGGGTGTGGGTTATGGGAAGCTGAGAAAGTGCAGATTTTAGGGCAGAATGACAGACTCTATTTTCTGTTCAGTTGGCCCCTCTGCTGCCACCTGTATTTCTCTCTTAGTTAAGAGAGAGTTAGCCACGTGACGATTTTCAGTCAGTGGGAACTTACTTTTAGTTACTCAGTGAAATTAATTTTTAATTTGTACATTTAACTTACAGAGTAGGTTGGTAATAACAGCTGAACTGTGTAACACTGTTGCTTCAAATTGAAGTTCATATTACAAATCTCAGAGTCCAGGCTCCTAGCGCAGCGTCTCCCGGGGCTGTCTGGAGCTTGGCCGGCAGCGCGCCGAGCCACCGCCACACGTGGCCCCAGCACCCGGGGTGGCCCTGCAGGGGACCTGGCTGGGGCCTCGGGGTCCTAGGTCTGGAAATGACGTTTGCTTTGCTTCGAACCGCGCAGGGACGGGCCTGGAGCGGCAGCTTCGATGGGCTGCTGCTGTTGCTCTTGACTGCGCTCTAGTAACTCAGCTTTCATCCTGGCGGCAGGCGACTGGCATGCGGGCGCAGTGAGCCTCGCTCTGCTCCTCTCCTGCTTCTCCTCCTGCCCCTCCTCCCCATAGAATTCCTTCTGTCCTGTACCCTCCCCTGCAGAGCCGGCGCAGAGGCTTCGGGTGGCAGGGCGTATTGCTGGGCCTGTGCATTCCACAGGCTGAGCTGCACTGACCCGGGCCTCATGTGGGTCCGGGGCTGCCTTGATTGCCATGTCTCGAGACCTTGCCGGTGGCTGTCACAGCTGCGAGCCTTCCAGAAGGGACAGCTGCCAGGCATTGGGGGAGTTGGCTTACTGCAACTGTGAGGCTGTGATACATCTGCAAGTATTAGAAATCTTCAGAATTGGAGTTTTTATTTGAAATTATATTTTGGTTGACTTAAGTTTTGAGAGATGATTCTAAAACTGATCTAGAGACTCATTCAATAGCAATGACTTTTAAAACTTACATTAAGTAACTGCCAGTAGATCAAGTCACATGTGTACGTAAGAGCATCCTCTTTACTACATGGCGCTTCAGTGCTTTCAGAGGCTTCCAGACGGTCAGATGTTTTTAAGTGTGCTCTTTTATTAAACGCTTGTGTAAGTTTTGTAACTCGGTACAGAAAAGTTTGACCTTGTAATGTACATTTTTGTATGTAAAAAGTCTTTTAAGTAGCTTTATCCTTATTTAAATAAAGCTGAGTAAAATGATCTCAGTAGGTCTGTCATGCTTTAAAAGGTCCAGTGGGCAGATACCCTGGCGCTCGGCCTGTTTCCGTCCGCGAACCCTGTCAGAAGTGTGCTTGTCGTTGGCCTCTCGGCCTGGGTGGCCGGGAATAGGCAGCCCCTGCACAAGTGGTCTGGCGTGAGGATGTCGTGGGGCGGCAGAGGACCTGGTGTTGCTGTTGTGGGACAGATGTGTGACCAGTACGCCCTGGAGGAAGAGAGCAGTGTCAGGTGCCTCATTTCCTTCAGTGAAGCCCCTGGAAAAGACCCAGGTGGTCAGCTCTGCCCCACTTGGAACCGCAGGCTCGTCTCAAGGCTGCCAGAGGGTGCGCAGTGGCGAAAGCCACTGACAGGCCATCCACTGAGGTCGTGGAGACAGCATCTGCCTAGAGGAGTCTGACCCCACACCCCTGCAGGGCGTTGTCCTACCGAAGGCTCTGCAGCTGTGCTCCCTTGGTGGGGGAAGCCCTCTCCATGCTGCTGTTCCCAAGCGCAGCCCTGTCCGTCACCTGCGCAGGCCACGGTCCGGATTTCAGCACCCTGGAGGGCCCCGAGTAGAAGGCCTGGTCCCACTGCATAACCCTGCAGTGCCGCTACAGGCCATGGGGCTGCCCCTGAGGGGAGGTGGGGACCCCAGCCTGATGATGGTGCCGCAGGCAACAGGTCTTCCTGCTCCCCACACCTGCCTCTCCGCAGCCCCAGAGCAGGGGGCCAGACCAGCCCTGGATGAAAACTTGCGCAGCTGAGCCCCAGAAGCGCTTCCTCCCTGAGAGAAGGCTGTCCTGTGTGTTGGCACGGTGGCACCCTGCCTTCCCTATCCCTCACCACTGCAGACCTTTTCAACAAATGTGAGACACTTCTTTTTTTTCTGTTTTTTGAAGCAGGGTCCCGCTGTGGGCATCAGGCTGTCCTTGAACTCGCTGTGTAGCCCAGGCTGGCCTTGAATTTGAGGCGCTCCGCTGGCCTTGGCCTCCTGGGACTGCAGGTGTGCGCTAGCACACCTGACCAGAAGAGAAGGTCTTGATAGCAAAGTTGCCCGGGCTAGACTCAAACTTGGAATCATCCCACCTCAGCCTTCCAGAGTGTTGGGATACAGGTGTGTCCCACCATGCCTGGTTTAAACTTTTTAGTAATAAACATTTTAGGGCAGTTTTATAGTTATAGAAAAATTGCCAGGGTAGTACAGAGAATTTTCATGCACCCTCACACCTAGTTTCCCTAGTAATGTACTTACTATGGCACATTGTTTTAAATGAATCAATACTGATACGCCATTGCTAATTAAAGCCTGTATTTTCATTTGCACCTACGTAGGTTTGACTTCGCTCTTCTGTGTTCCGGGAGCTGACCCACAGTGCCACTGTAGCTAGCACGTCTCCGGCCCTTCAGCTGTGGTCTCCCTTGTGTTGGAGTTGACAGCGTTGGGGGGCACTGGTCAGGCTTAACTTCCCTTGGTTGGGATTTGAGTACTGTTTTTCTGCACGCAGATGGGGGCTGTGGATTAGGGGGAGGCCCGAGGGAAGAGTGCTGTTTCCGTCACACTGTTTCGGGGACACTGTGAACATGTCACCGCTCCGAGGTCAGCCTTGGTCACATGGCTGCAGTAGTGTTAGGGTTCACCAAGGAAGACAGTTCTCATACCATGCTGTGCTTTTTGGCAGGAAGTCACTTAATCAGTCACGGTCCCCTCTGGGGCCAGGTGTCCACGTAAATTATCTGGAGTTCACCACCCCTGACCATCCAGCAGTTGATGTATGGACTCATGGAAACTTACTCTGATGCTTCCTGTCTCCTCCCTCCAGTTGTGTGGTCAGTGGCCCCTGGAAGCTTTTTGGAGTACCTTGTAAGTTCCTGACATTGGAGAGGACAGCAGGTTCGCTTTGTGTATTTTTTGCCCAAGACCTGGGATCAGCTACATACCCAAGAGGAGGACTGGGTTGGCTGAAATGGAGAAGAGTGTTAAGAACCGAGATCTGGGTACGAGGGGTACTCATTGCTACTGGGGTGTTCTGGTCCTTTGCTTTCTTGGCCAGCAGCAAGGAAATTGTGTGTGTGTGTGTGTGTGTGTGTGTGTGTAACGCTGTATTCAGACCTCTGTAAATATTTCTACACGTAGCCATCGTGTTGGTCAGGCGTTTGCACCGTAACAAAATAGCGAAGATAATCAACTTAGGGGGAAAGTTGGCTGGGAGTTCAGCATCGCAGCCTCGTCCCTGCACTTTCAGACCTGTGATGCGGCAGCACTCCACGGCAGGGTTTCAGCAGAACTGTCCCCCTCACGGCGGCCAGGAAACAGAGTAGCGGCCAGCATTGCACAGTCCCCTCGGACCACTCCCAGTGACCTCGACTCTGCCACCAGTCCCCCCTCTGAACAGGCCACATGGCGGGGCAAGCTTTACACGTGGGCCTTCACGGATTTCCAGTCCGACCTGCAGTGCCACGCAAGCCACTGCCGGACGGGTCATTCTAGGCTGCCTGGCTCACCTGTGACCCGCTCTCCCCACAGTGATAACAGACGCCTCCCCAACCCGCCAGCCAAGCACTCAGCCGTACAGCTCTGCGTACATCATGGCCTCACAGAAGCCTCAGCCGCACCCAGGCAGGAGGCGCTGCAGCCAGTGACACACCATCTCTGCAGTTCTCTGCCTTTTATCTTCACCACTTCCGGGATTAAGTCCTGTCGTTTGAGAGAGTCTTGCCCTGTCTCCTTGTTAACCCTAGTGGACTGAGTCTAAGCTACAGTAATACCTAGAGAAGGGGTAGCAAGAGTATTCTGTGCCTAGGAAGCGTGCTAGTTAGGCTTGTCAGTCCCTTAGAAGCCTGTAGAACAACCTGAAATGGTGTGGGTTGTCTTCCAGTAGATACCCTGGAGCCTGGAAGGGTTTCTACCCACCTGCTTGTAATTATATAAGTATTTACAGATGCCACGAATGACAGCCTTTTGTTTCATGTTTTGGTAAGTGTTCTGTTTGTCATTCTTAATTATTTTTGGCTCTGCGAGTTTTGTAGTTTAGGCACATTTTGGCATGTACATCATCTGGACAACTTCCTGCTCCGTGCTCGCCTCCCCCGGCCGGGCACAGCGACACACAGGTGAAATCTGTGTATTCAGAGATGGCACCTGCCCCGGGTCATCTCTGCCTGTGAAGAAGTAACTTGGGTCCAGGGCCAGCGGCTGGGCATCGGAAGCCTGGTCGCTACTAGCTTGCTGGCTGGCCTCTGCAGTTGCGCTTCAGCCTTCCCTGGCCTCCTTTCAAGCAGACAGCTGTCCCTCCAAGCCTTCATTCTCTGTTTCTAGAGGTCACCTTCCACATCCCCCTTACGTCTATTCTCGAGGCCGTCCGAACAGCCCGGCAGAGGGTTCACGCTGTCCTCAGGTGCAAGTGGATGTTGCCAAAGACGCCAGGGCAGTGCTGCTAGGTTTTATATGTAGTATATTTCTAAAGCAGTATGATGAATTCCTGTATCAGTTAACACTGCTCTGCTTCTGCCGTAGTAGGTAGAGCTGACGAGATAAGCTTTTCCAAGGCAGCCAGGGGATATTTACTGGGCTTAGATCTTGCGCGCAGTGCTCTGCATGGCTGGATCAGGTGTAGTTGTGACATGCGATGGAGTGTCCAGCACCCTGGCACCTATGCAGTGACAAGGACCTCTCTACTGCTGAATTCCCAGTCCTACTGTGGGTTAAGCCCAGGGTCTTCACACTGAGCCGCATCCCGCTTGTATTGATCTCCTGGAGAAGGCTCTCAGCATGTTGCTGCGTTGCTGAGGTTTGCCTTGAACCTGCGGCCCCCATGCCCGCTGCGCCTGCTCAACCGAGCTTGGCAGTCCTTCAGGTCCTCCCGAGGGCAGAGCTTCCGCTGATGACAGTCCTGAGCGGGTACTCAGGGTGGCTCCAGCCAGAGCACCTGCACCCCAGCACACAGGTGTGAGCTGCGCTACAATCCGGTCCCCACCTCTACGGCCCCTAAGGGAGCCCCTCCCCCAGTCCTTCAGGGACTGCATGTGCTTCCCTGGTTTTGATTGGCCATAGACTAGTTCTTTGAAAAATTTTACAATATCCTACATACTGCCCCAAGTTTAAGTATATCATTTGTTATGTATAATGTAGTTTAGATTTAAACCAAAGATGGAGGTGCTGAAATAGACGAAATCAAAGTGAATCTTCCTGGGAGAATGTGTATGGGGGAAACCGATGCAGTGTTCATAGCTATAGTCCTGTGCTAGACACCACCCGGACAGGCTTGCTGCGACTTAGTGTAAGGAGTGACCTTACTGCAAAAGGTTTGCTCTGACTCCCTAAGTGTGAGAGGCGCTTCTGTGGGATTTTTTTTTTTTTTTTTTAATCCTAAATGTAGTGAAGACCCAACAGGCAAAACAGAAGAGAAAGCCAGAATCCAGAGCAGGAGGGTTCTTTGATGCTTTGCGGATACGCAGCTGTGGCCTAGGTGACTGAAACGTGTGGCCAGAGCCTCGAAGCCCATTAGCAGGGACCGCAAAGCACAACCCCACATGATAGGAGGGGTAGAAGCAGCCTGGAGGGAGAGAAGCAAGCAGGAGCAGAAGCATGGGGCAGGAAACAAGAGCAGGTTGGGGTGCTGGGGACAGAGGCAGCCAGCAGCTCCTTGGAGAGCCTCAGTCACACCCCAGCCTGAGGTGGGGACAGTGACCTGGAAGTGATTGAAGCAGGTCCTGCGTCGGGCCGAGGCACTGGCAGAGGTGGCAGGAGTCATCCTCAGGGAGACAGCCTCATCCCCCATCCCAGGCAGCGATCAGCACAGGGACCGGAGACTTGTGCCCAGGGTCTCTCTCGATGCTGGGACGATGAAGTGAAAATCAAACAAGTTCATTCTCTGGACGGAGAGAGAAAAGATTTAAACTGACTGTCCTTAGGGCTGGGTTGATTCTCCAGCACAAACAAAAGTATAAAATAAATATCAAATACAGGAATCATCACAAAGCATATAACACATATTTTAAATTTATTGAGTTGGATGTGTTGTGTATTCTCTTATTCATTGTGTTCTGAAATTAAACTGCAAAATAGATTTATTAAGTATGAAAAATACAGTTAACTTACACAGCCCAGTGAAAGTATGTATGTATGGTACACACAAACACCCACTCCTGTACTCTCGTGTACCCATAGCTCAGGTCAAGGTACAGAGCAGGGTGGGGTTGGACGGCTCTGTCAAGGGCCAACAGTAAAGACGTAGGCCTTGTAGTCGGGCCAGTGTGTAAATGAAAAAGCACAGCCATGTTCCAGTGCAACTTCTTAAAAAAAGACAGCAAGTACTTCCTGTAATACCAGCACTCTGGGAGGCTGGGGCAGGAGGATCACAAGTTGGAGCCCAGAATGGGCAACTTCGTGATTTAGCAAACTCCAAAGGGTTAGAGACCCATCTCTGGCCTCAAGTTGCTTGTGTCCTTTCCTAACCCTTCTTCACTCTGAAGGAGAGAAGGCAGGGCAGGATTCGACCAGCTTCATGACCCCCTAATGAACTTCACTGTTCTTAGCCTGCGGGGCTACTGTCCACATCCTGGGAATGTAGGTCATTTCACCAAATGTAGAACATTCTACCCAAGAGACAAAAAGAGCTTGGGTGTGAAAAGGAGAGGAAACTTTGAGGAGAGGTGCATTCCTGACCACAGACTTGCTTTGACCAGATGAGGCGGTGAGATTTCGGCCCACCCCAGCCACCCACTGGAAGCAGCACGGCGTACAGGAATGGCCAGACACTGTGACCAGGCATGCAAGTCCAGACACTCAGTCGTTAGCACACAGTGTCAGGCAAAATGAGTTTGTTTAGAATAGCTTTATTGTGAGTCACATAATCTTGCTTTAGGCTTTACGTTACGGAGCTGCAGAGAGCTGCTGTTCCTTACCTAGAGAATCAGAAAAACAGTCAAGTGTGTGACACTGTTAATTGCACTAGAGGCAGTGAAAGAAAGATGAATGTGTAAACATCATTCTAAAGGAGTTTTACAAGGGATTTGCCTTACGTGATTACAAAAATTCTAAACTATGTTTCTACTAGGGTTAAATACGCTTGTCTCCTTCCCTGGGACGTAGTAGGAAGGATTGCCGGGTGTCTCAGGTGGCTGTGGACCCACGCGAGGCCCTGGCCAAGACACCAGCAGAGGCTCAGATGTCCTTCCCGCAGTCGGGGCACAGGATGTCATCTCTCTCGGTGAGGAAGCCCCGCCCCACCAGGGACAGCGAGCACTTCTTGCAGTTGAAGCAGTCATTGTGCCACTGCCGCTCCTCGAAGGAGATGTACTTCGTGCCACCAAGTCCTGCGGACAGAGAAAGAGTCGTGCTGGCTGAGGGTGAGCAGCAAGGGGGCGGCAGGCACCACCTGATCCTTTGCAGCACTCTTCGCCTGTCACACGGTGTAAAGGTTTTGATCCAAAACATCCCCCACGAGTCTCACGCATCTGAAGTGTGCCAGGTTGCTGGCAGTCACCGGGTGTGGCCTTGTCCCCACTCCTCCCTTTGTTACTTCCTGGCCCCCACGGGATGAGCAGCTGTCCTCCGTACGCCTCCCTCCAGGCTGTCTCCTGCAGAGCTAGCTGACCATGGACGGAACCCTCCAAAACTGCGAGCCACACAAGCCCGTCGAAGTAGTGAGTGCCAGGCAGAGACCGAGGGGTGGATGGGCGTTGCTGCAGAGGGGAAGCAGAGAGGAGCCCCCAAAGCGCACACAGGTACAGGAGGATGAGCAGGAGCTTAGTGAGGAGGGGCTGCTGTGGAAGGTGGAGACAGACTTCATAGTGAATCTGAATATGGGGTGGATCTGAATATGGGGTGGATCTACCACCCTGTTTTTTTTTTGTTTTTTTTTTTTTTTGGCAGTGCTGAGGATGAAACCCAAGGCCTCATGCTTGCAAGGCAAGAACCCTGGCCCTGAGTTGTACCACATCCCCAGTATTTTTAAACAAGGAAGGGAGCAGCTCACTTCCTTTCAGTCCCCTGGCGTGACCATGTGGATGACTCATCCCAGTAGTGTTTAAAGCACGTTGGTTGCTGGTCACAGCTTGTAGGGCAGGTGCTTTGTGCTGCCCTCGCCCACCTGGACATAGCATAGAATCAACACACAGGTTGTCTCGCAGCCCTAATTGATTCTGGTGAAATCTGGGCCATGAATTCCAACTACAAAGGCACCCACCTAGTTACTGCATTTCTACTGTCTGAGGTCTCCAGTTGGTTCCTGCAACTTAGTTTTTACCTACAGCTGAAGCCCCGGAGCTCTTCTTCCTCTGCATCAGCGTAGGTCTCGACTCAAGCCCAGGGCTGCAGTGCAAGGTGCCTGCCCCATCTGCTACCGCGTGTCCCTGCCCCTGCTGGCACTCCTGAGTGTCTACTACTCCTAAGTATCTCACCGCTCCCAAAAGACCTACCGAGCTGGGGCTGGCTCAGTGCGGGACCACCTGCCTAGCTGGGAAGAGGCCCTGGCTTTGGTCCTGGGCCCTGCAAAAAAACGCCATCAAACCAAAGCCCAACACTGCAACAAGTAACGGTGCTTCCGGAATAGAGACTGAAAAACCTCCAGGCCATGCAGCCGAGGCCACCGCCCTAGGCAGAGCTCACCAGCGCAACTGCCAGGGAATCTAACTTTTCTACACATCTGCATCGCTGGGAGCTTTCAAAAATTCCAGACCAGGGTGACAGGTGCTATCAAGTGAATCAGAGCCCACACTGCAGGGTTTGAAAGCTCCCTGTGGGACCCATGGAGCAACAGTTTCATGTGACTGAGGGCAGGGGCCGCGCAGGGTGGGGAGGGGTTGCTTCTCTGGCCCCGCTCAGTCAGCCCAGCTCTTCAGGCCCAGACTGTGCTGAGCACCTTGGGGAACGGCACGTGCGAAGCCCCCGGGAAGGTGCCTCTGACCACCCCCTACCCCCAGCACTGGCCCGTGGTGGAACAGTGTCATTCAATGCCACAGGCACCTCACAGAACCCTGGGAAGCTTCGAGACTGACAGTGCCAGTCTGCCTTGAGCTCGAGGCCTGGGCCGGCCTCGCGGACTGGCTTTGGAGACCGTCCAACCCAAAGCGGAAAGGGTCCCTGAGAACTGGCCACAGTGGCCCAGTGTGGAGGGTGACCAAACTACCTGCTGGCTTGCGTGCAGGGTACCAGGGGACCCTGGGGCTGGGCGAAGCTCGGCACTTACCGCTGATGGGGTGGGTGCACCCGGCGCACTTCTTGGCGTACAGCTCACAGAAGCAGGTCAGGCAGTAGGCGAAGTCGTCCCGGGCCGTGAAGCGCTGGCCCGACAGCGGCTTCTTGCAGGCGGTGCACACGAAACACTCCCGGTGCCAGGGCTGCTCCCGGTAGGTGACACCGCCCGCTGTGATGGGCTGTGGGACAGGGCGTCAGCAGGGTGCTCCACGCTGCAGCCCCAGCCTGCGCCGCCCCGCCCAGGAGACACTGCCCTCCAGGAGCTGTCGCAAGCGGCACTCCAGCGCTCCGGCCCCGCGTCCTCCTGTGACAGCCGTCCTTGGGGCTGCCCTGGGCCCTTCGCAGGGAGCAAGGAGCTGGGGATGGGGGTTGGGGACAGGCGTCGCACCGCCCCAGCAGTGCAGGGGTCACACTGGGGGTCACACAGGACACGGGATCTGCCCTGAGCTGCTCAGTTCGCAGGAAGGAGCGAGGGCGCCCACAGCAGGACCCTGGCCGCCGAGCGGCACCCTACCTTCCGGCACTGCACGCACTGCGGCGCGTACTGCTGCTCGTAGCAGGGCACGCAGAAGTTCTCGCTGTCCTTGGGAATGAAGCTCTGCGTCCCGATCGGCCTCTGGCAGCGGTGGCACACAAAGCAGGTCTCGTGCCAGCTGCTGCCCTTGTACTCCATCTTTCGGGTCCCTGTCACAGAGGAAGGGGGTAGCCCCGTCAGCACTGGGCGGCCAGGACTGTTACCCGCAGTCACTGGCCACTGCAGGGGGACGCCATGCAGGCTTTGCCTTCGCTGGTTACTAGGACATGAGGAAGGCGACAGGAAAAAGTGTTTAGTCTCCTAGCACTGCGGGAGTGTAAGAGAGAGCTACAGAGCTGGTGCAGTCCTTGCGCAGCGTGAATTTCAGTATGGCGAGTGCAGAAGGCTCTCTGAGCCCTGGCTTCCGCTCCCAGTGGCCAGCCTCAGTCCACAAATATTGAGTAGTAGAACATTCCAAAAACAAACAGTGCATTGGTTTAAGACCGCTCAGCACTGGCTGTGAAGACACATCACAGAGCCCAGCCCGGCCCACTGGGACGGGAATCATCCCTTTGACGAGCGGGTCCCCACTGTGTGCACTACCCACCTGGCAGTGATGCAGCCCTCCATCTGCAGGATCAGATCGACTGTCACAGGAGGGCAGGCTGTGTGCAAGGCCCCTACTGTTACCTCGTGAGGACCCATTTAGTGTTCTACTGGGAGCAGTTCTGGCTGCTTAGTAGTTATCATCTCTAACTTGTGCCTTATAAACAGAGTAAACCCTATCAGGTGAGCACACAGTGTCTCCAGGGCTCCACACTCATTCCAGGCACCACAGGGCTCTGGGCACTGCTGTGGGTTCTCCTGTTGTGAGCGCCCTTGCTAGTTCCAAGAGGGGGGACGGACTCAGAGCTCCCTGCATTCCGTGCAGAGATCCACGCACTCACGCTATGGAACCGACCACGACAGGGGGCTGGGCTGCCTGCGTGGCTTTGTGTGCTGCTTGAGACCTACTCATATCCCACGCCGCAGCTCTCCGATCCTGCCCAGCGCCGTCCCTTTTCGGGTGAGCGACCGTATGATCCGACACCTCCCTGTCAAACACCTGCGACATGGCACCCACTGTGTTCATGCTCTACCAGAAAGCACGCCTGCTACGGCAAACCCGACTCAGGAAGGGCTGACGCAGCACGCTCTGTAGAGAACAGAAGACCTGGGGGAAAGGAACTCGGCGGTGGGGAGACAGGAAGAGTTTCCACCGCGCCGTGCCCCTGCCTGGGGTCCCAGCCCCGGCGCCATGGGGAGGAGCCACCCAGCCGGGGCTCCAGCACTAAAGCCCTGACTACTGGGGCGGGCCACAAAGGGTGACGGGCACCCACACCAACGCCACAGACGTGGTCCTGGCAGCGGGCGGGGCTTGGTCTCCGCCGGCAGCCCGTCCAGTGTCTCCTGTGTCCCAGCTACAGACCGCACTGAGAATCACCACACCGCCACCCCCTTAGACGGCATTGCTGGGCCCCTCCAGCTTCCTGTGCCCATCCAAGCACGCTTTGTGATACATGCAGGGTGCATTTGTGGGACAGCGCGGTTCGGGGGCGCCAGTGTGACCCTTATGCTGGGCACACAGCCTGTGGGATTCGCATGGGCGAAGGGTCATGCAGCGCCGTCCCATCAGGCCACTCAAATCCTGGGAGAGATGCCAGAAGGCCCTGGTGTCCACGGCAGCCTGGGGAGAATCCCGCTGCCCGCCAGGCCTGTTGTGCCATGACGCAGCGTGGCCAGCAGGTGGCGGGAGCACGCCGTGGTGGAGGGCCAAGCTCAGCTCTGTCCCGGGCAGGGACCGGGCGCCCCAGAGTCAGAGTCAGCGCCCTGGCCGCCCCTTGGAGCCACAGCGCCTGTGAGAAGACGCCTGTGGGACTCTGGCTCCCGCAGACGCCAGGAGCTTGCAGTGCAAGTGGGAGCCAGGGAGGGGCCCTGTCCCTCAGAGAGGAACTCACTGCAGAAGCTGCGCTGGTGCTCTGGGCCACTCGTGTTACTTGTAATCTTGCTGACAGTGTCCCTGTTCCTTAGGGGCTGTCGTGATCAGGACACATGCCGGAAGCGGCGGGCAGCAGGGCAGCAGAGCAGCGCAGCGCAGGGCAGCGAGTGCCGCGTGCCGGGGGCCTGTGTGTGCCCCCTGGTCCTTCTGAAAGCAGCAGTAGCTGCAGACTAGTTTCCCTCCTGTGCTGCGGGATGGGAGGCCTCCTCCTCCAGCGCTGAAAACCAAATCAAGCCGCTTGCTGCGCTCCTGGGGCTGCACGTGCGGACCCCGCCGGGCACCCCAAGCCAGCACTGTCCTCCACGCAGCCTGCGGTCCGGGGTCTGCAGCGCGGCCTCCCCTGCCCCTCACTGAAAAGACCGTGGCCAGTGAGCGCCCGGCGGCCCCACGTGGTTCCCTTCGGAGAGCTGAAGCGCTAGCTGTTTCAGCTGTTTCCAATCTCGGGTTTTCTGTATCCAGGGAACACCACGAAGAAGGACGGTGGGGGTGAGTTTTGTGTGCCAGCCCAACTGCGGATCAGTATCGAGTGGTTTGATCAAAACCCCATCAGCCAGACCCAGGACTGCCCTCGTGGGTTCCCAGCGCCTCAGGAGGCTGAGGCAGGAGGACTGTTTGACTCCAGTTCAAGTCCAGTGAGGCAAAATAGTGAGCCTCTGACAAAACAACAACAACCAGTAACAGCCCTGCACAGATGTTGTTCCAAACGTGTTTTTAGACAAAGGTTTGCAATCAGGAGCTTGGAGTGAGGCAGGCAGGTGGGCCTCATCTAATCAGGAGGGTTTCCGGGGGCCAGGAATTCTCCTGATCCCCGCAGAGAGCCTGCCGGGCACCCAGCCTCGTGTGGACTGAAGTGGTTCCGAGCTGGGGACCCACTGCCGGCCGAGCCCCCGCCCGCAGGCGGCCCTGGAGATGAGGCAGCTTCCCCGCGCCTGTCCTGTGGACTCCTGCTCTCGAGCACCCTGCACAGAAGGCCAAGGTAAGGGGTGATAAAGCCAGCGGTCCAGCGAATGCCACGTTTCTGTTCGGGCTGGGCCAAGCATCCGGTCTGTAACAGCTGGGGCTGCGAGGTGCAAGTCACCAGGCCCTGCGACCAGGGAGGTCTCCCGCCCGTCAGAGGGACTGAGTGACACTGAGCGGCGGTGACCCGGAGACCACGTGTCCACCCTCCGAGTGCAGAGGCCATGGCTGGACAGCAGCAGAGGCAGTGCCACAGGAGCCCTGTGCCCCAGGACTCGGCCACGTTACAGCTGGGTCTCGGCCCTCTGCGCAGATGCGCTGGCCCCTGCTCCATGTCCTTCCCGGCGACATCCAACGCGGCAGGATGTGCACAGGACACCGGCCTACAGCCCTGCGCCGGGCTCTCCCCAAAGAGGGCAGGACAGAGCTGTGGGCCGCTGCAGGTCCCTTGGTCCTCCCTGAAGCCACCTGGGATGGCACCGCAGGCCACAAGCCCCGCCCTGTACAACACCGACCCGAGCCCTGAGCCCTGCTCTCTCCGAAGCCCCTCCCCTGCGCAGCCCCTCCTGTGGGCAGCCTGGCCCGGGGACACCGAGGAAGCATAGGGAGCGGAGAGACCAGGGTGGAGGACCGCAGTAGGGAGACACCCCAGGCCTGCAAGGCTGGGCTGCAGGGCATCCGGGAAGGCGTGGAAGGGAAGAGGTCTCGGGGCCTGTGGCCTTCAGGGAAAGGGAGAGGAAAAGGGAGTTCAACAGTGTGCCGAGGTCCGGGCCTGGTGCCTCAAGTCCGTGACCCCAGCACGCAGGAGGCTGAGGCAGGAGGAGCTCAAGTGTGAGGCCAGCCTGGGCTATGTAGTACGCTCAAGGCTGCCTGCGACTACAGAGAGAGACCATGCTTCAAACAAATAAAATGAAAAAGTTTGCTGAGAGTCCCAGGGGAGCCTTCCCCACACTTGTCACAAAAACTGGCTGTCGGGACGGTGGTACCTGCAGGAGGCCGCCTGGCCCCCACGGCCTCCCTCCTCGTGGCCACTGTCTCACCCACTCAGGCCTGAGTTTCCAGACTCCGAAGCACGACCCTGCGCTCAGAAGCGACCTTCTGGCCTGGAGCCCCTCCCATCCAAGGTCACCAGAGCACCCTGTCTTCCCCAAAGGCCCTGTTGGGGTGCTTTTGCTCCTTACCATGGCATAGGGCCCGTTACTTATTTTGAGGTACAGGTCTCAACTTTTGCATGCTGGTTTCAAACTACTGGGATTGAGCAATCCTCCTGCCTCAGCCTCCTGAGTAGCTTGCACTGCAGCTGTGCGCCATCTCGCCAGCCCACTGGAGTTACTTTTAAATTGTATTAGCCGGAGATGTGGGAACAATAAGCACCTTACTGAGGCCTACGAGGCTCCTTAAGGATTCCGCTCCTCACCGAACACACCCGTATCCTCCTATTTCCCGTGCGGCAGCCTCCCGCTCCAACTCCTCCAGCGTCTCCTCAGCGCAAAGACAAACAAACCGAACCAACCAGAGATGCCTGGCTGCGTCGCCAGAGACTTCAGTAACGCCACAGTTTTACTCTAAGTTCTGTGAATCAAATTCTCTTCCCATGTCAGTGGGCCCAGCTAGGAGAGATGCAGGCGGTACAGATGCCGGCTCAGTTTTCGGAAATCAGTATATGCTCCGCTAAAACTACAGGCCCTGAACGTAAGCTCTTTTCACAGGCCTTGCTACTGCACTCGTGGGTGAAATGGAATTTGTAAAATCTCTTCAGGCCAAGGCGTCAGTGCTCGCCTGTAGGCCCACCACCTGGAGGCTGAGGCAAGACAGTCATTTACCCCTGGAGTTCAAGACCCACCTGGGCAACGCAGTGCGGCTTTGTTTCTTTTTTAAAAACCCTTTGAAGGAGGCTTTGTGTTTGGTTCCATTTATCAGTACAGGGAATTGAACTTCTTTAAAATTACATGTTCAAATTTAATGTGTTTGTTAGTCCTTTTAAAATCTCCATTTAAGAAACCTCAGGTTCTTAAGCAATTATTGAAATAAACATACAGTGGCAAATCACAAGGTATCTTCAACGTCAGAATAGTTTGCATGTTAAAAATTTTTCAACTTAAAATCATAAGCCCAGCTCACTTATTCAACTGCATACTTTAAAAGTCAGATCACAAGGTTAATGTACTTTTGAGAGACCTTTGCACATTTTATCCATTCCCCAGCAGATCGCTGCTGTCCCTGTGGCCTGAGACCCCTACCGCCGCGCCTGCCTTTACTTGCAAGCCTCCCCGAGGAGGCTCCTGGTTACCGTATTAACCGAAGTCAGGGCCCGGCTCCCAGCTGTGCCCAGCTCCTGCATTAGAGGGTGCTGGCAGGGCCCCCCAACTCGGGCAAGTTGTCTGTCCTGAGATGTCCCGCTAGCCTTGGCCCCGAGTCTAGGCAGCCCAGGCCTGCACGGTCCCGTTGGCTTCTTCTGGGGGCTGCCCCTGCCTGGGGACACGGCGGAGCAGCTCCTGCACGGCCAGGTGGGGCACCCAGAAAAGCAACCCCTGATGTTCCGATTCAACTGGGTTCTGTGCTTTGTGAGCCCACCCGGCCACTCTGCTGCCGGCCGCGTGGCTGCCCATGGGAAGTGTGTCCCCGAGGGCCCACGGCTCTGGAGCAGCCCTGGGGACAGCTGTCCTTCTCCTCAGCCCTCCAAGCTCAAAGCAGGGGCGCTCATCCGCGGCTCAGCTACTCCCCGCCCTCATCTCTGCAGTGTCTTAACAGGACTGGCTTCTTAATGCTGCATTCTAAGGTCCCATATGTTTCTAAGTGGGCAGTGCATTTTTAGGGGGAAGCCCAGCGCCCTCTTCCTACAGCCAGCTCTGTGTCCCCCTTATGCCAAAAAAAAAAAAACACCCCACACTGTGTCTGCGCTGTGTCCTAGTCATCATTCCTTACAGAAAGACGGCGGCTGTGTACACGGAGGGCGTGATGAGCGTCCAGCTGGGTTTGGAGGACGCAGGGGCGCCTATGCACACGCTGTGCCGCTGTCTGAAGGACCTGGGGTCCACGCGCTTCGGTAGCCGGAGCCCCCCGCAGGTCTGGTGCTGCATGTGAGGCGCTGGGCGCACCCCAACACACACGAGGCTCTGCTTCCTCCCGCGGCCCACCCCTGCTCTGCGCGGTCCCGGCCCCGTCCCCCGCGAGGGCCCTGCGCGCCTGACCTGGCATGATGGTCTTCCGGCACTCCTGGCAGCGGGACGAGTACTCGCTGGAGTAGCAGTCGGTGCACAGCAGCTGCTCCTCCTTGGCGGCGAAGGGCTTGTCCACCAGCGAGCCTCGGCACAGCGAGCAGCGGAAGCAGCCCTGGTGCCAGTGCCGCCCCTTGTAGGACAGGTCCTGCGGGCAGACGCGCGTGGGCGGTCAGGGCTCCGGCCGGCACGGACGCCGGGCGCTGAGCAGACAGGAGAGAGGGCTGCGGGGACTCGGCGCCGCCCGCGCCTGGCCAAGGGCACCGGAGACCTCTGCGTGTTTGCCTTTTTAAAAGGACAGCCAGCATTTTGAAGGAGCCAGTACTAAACGGAGACGGCCACTGCTCCACCCAGCGTCGCCCTGGGAAGGCGATCTCGCTGCTGCGTCTCTGTGAATTCCCAGCTCTGACCCAGACCAGAACCACTTATTAATGCGCAGGTGCAGAACCGCAGGCCTGTCGTGTGGTTTCGAGGCACGGCCCGTCCTCAGGTGTCCAGAACACCCAGGGAGGGAGCTGCTCACGCAGACGGCCACCAAGAGCAGTGCCCCAAGGCGTCCCCTTGCCCCAGGCGGAGCTGCGCTGCGGCTCTGCTGGGGCGGGGTGTGAAGGCCCGACTCAGACCTGGTGGGAAAGTCCTGCGACAGCCAAGCCTGGGACCGACTAAGGCAGGCTGCTCTTCTGCCGAGTCCTGCTGTGCGTGTGTGCACGTGCATGTATACGTGTGTGTGCACGCATGTAGTGTATGTATGTGTGTGCATGTGCATGTGTGTTCCCAGAACCTCGGGTCAGACTAACGCTATCTGACTTGATTTCTTTGCACGTTTCTGTCTTAGTTCCAGGAGTTTTTACAAGGCCAGCGTACGGCCACCTTGGACAGTCACTGTAGCAGTGCTGCGGTTCTCGGGCTTTCTGAGGGGGCCGCTGCCTCTCAGAGGCCAGGGACGGGGATGACTGCTGGCCGGGCGCATGCGTGCGGGTGGGGAGCAGAGGCCCACTGTCTTTGGCATTTTCCCTTCCTGTATTCTCAGAAATCTGGGAGGAAAACCACTCGTGTCCCTGGGATTCTGACGAGTGCTGGTGAAATGCCCACTTAAGCGTCTGTCTGCTCCTGGACACTGCAGAGCTCAGGGGCACACGCCACCGTCACCCCCGCGCAGGCTCTGCCTCCATGCACACATCCTTCTTCAGGGAGACCCTGAAGCAACTGTGACTGACCACCAGTGAGTCCCGGGCCAGGCGGAGCCTAGCACCCAGCCCAGGGGAGTCCCAAAGCCTGACCCCCACAGCCTGTGGACTGGGCCAGGCTGCAAGTAGGCGCAGTCCTTTCCCAGAGCTACTTTTCCACTGGACCACCGTAACTAAAACTCTGGCTAGGCCTGTGCTGCTCTTTGCTTTAAAAAGAAAAAAGAATGCACCTTACACCTACTCTCTGAGAGGCTGAGGCAGGAAGATCTCAAGTTTGAGCCTAGCCCGGGTAACTTAGCAAATTTAGCAAGATTCTGTCTCAAAAGTAAAAAAAAACAAAATAACAAAAAAAACAGGGTCTGGGTTGTAGCTCAATTCCAAGACCCGGGGTTAATTCTCAGTACAAGAGGGGAGGGGAGGGGAGGGGAGGGAGTACAGGAGAGGGGAGGGGAGGGCAGGGTCTCCTTAATGAATTGTGTGCATCCGGGGAAAGCAATTCAGAAGCACCCACACTAGTACGACATTTCGTATCTTATTTTGCATCCAAGTAAACCTAATTCAGCTCAGCCTCTGTTGAGACGCTGACAAAAGGAAGTCGAGCAAACCACCCAAAGCCCATCCACCAAGTGCTGGGAGCTGCCTAATTCAGGAAGAGTTTGGGTTTCTAACCCTCCATAACCGTGTAAAGCTGACTATGGAATAAATGCATTAGCGCTCTAATTTTGTACAAAAAACAGTAAGATAGTTCCTTTAAAAATTAAAAATAGAATTACCGTGTGACACAGCAATTCTCCTTGGAGTTTGCGCCCAGAGCGGCTGAAAGCTCTATCTGTGCACCTGGCTCCCAGCAGCAGGATCCCCAGGGGCCCAAACGCAGACCCACCCAAGGGTTCCAGGTGGACGCTGTGGGTTTGTGCAGCCTGAGGAAGGGAGGACCCTGTCACCCGCGGCAACGCGGATGGGCCCCAGTTCCCATCCTAAGTGGCAGGAACCGCTCACCAAGGGACACAGCTCGTGAGCAGGCTGTGGCCGGCGGCGGCTGGAGTCAGCAGGTTCAGAGAGGGCTGTGTGTGGACAAAGGCCCAGGGTGGGGGGCCAGGGAACGCTGGAGTGGGCAGTGGTCATGGCTTCCCACAAGGCCAGGCCAGGACGGAGAGGATAACTGTCTGTGTCTCACGGATTTCACCACCACCCGAGGAATTTTTAGAGGCCGGACGTGAGGAGCAAAAGCAGGTGGGAAGCAGTGAGCGGGCTCCCTGAGCGCAGAGTCGCGGTGGGGCCGCTCCCGGTGGGCGGGGAGGACTGCTCAGTGGCCCGGAGTCCCCCCGGGGCAGGGAGGGCAGTGGCCTCTCCGAGCCGACCGCAGGTCTGTGTCTCAGGGTGGTGACCCAGCCAGGAGCAGTCCCCGCACAGGGCAGGGCAGCCTGGTCCCAGTGAGAGGAGAAGGAAGGAAGCGTGGCGGAGCCCGCCTTGGGGTCTGGCTTCCAAAAACAGGGAGGGGAGAGGCCTCACACAGACGCAGCCCAGGCGTCCTGGGGGCAGGGAGTGAGCGACCTGGACGCCCCCCGCGGCCCTGCGCCCGTCTTCTGGGCCCCTCCCGGAGTGACCCGGTCCACTCGGTGATCCACAGGTACCTTGATGGCCTCAGAAACCCATCATAGCACCCTTCCAGGGCTCCCTCAAGCCAGGGCCAGCGTGGCGCCCACTCCCTGCATCCCCTCAGCCCCTCTCTGCACACTGGAGCCTTCCTGTGTAGAGGTATCTGCTTTCAGTATCATTAATTTGAGGACATCGGATAATCTCCAAAACCTCACAGAGCCATTTCCCTGCCGGAGAACAGAGCCCTGACTACGGCATCCATGCTGTGTTATAAACGCAACACTCCTGAAACAAGCCAGCCAGAGTGGGGCTCCGGGTGCAGACGAAACCAGTTCACACCCCATTCCAGCTGGCAATTCTTTTTCTTGCAGTGTTGGGAACCAAACTCAGGACCTTCCCATTGAGCTACATCCTCAGCTGTTTCTTTTTCTTTTTTGTATTGAGAGAGAGTTTTGCTAAGTCCCTAAACTGCCCAGGCTGGGCTGGAAATTGTGGTCCTCCTGCCTCAGCCTCCCCGAGTGCTGAGATTACAGGCTACCATGCCCATGTTGAAGGCGGAAACATGCTTTCTGGGCCCACAGTTTCCGAGTATCTGGGGCCTGCAGGTGGGGGACAGGTGTCCCGCACCCCTCAGGTCCAAGCATGAAACCAACTGCCTTCAGGGTTTCTCCTGGAGTTAAACTTGGGGCCATGAGTGGGGCCCATTCACCTAGGCCAGCTGCGAGGCCAGGCAGGCCGGTACCTCTCAACCTCAGAGCCCCGCCTCCCGTGGGCTGTGACCCAGGCATGAGGTGGCGCAGTCGCTGGCTTCTCCACCGAATGGAATGAGAAAGCCGCTGCCCGTAGAGCCAGCGTGCAGTGGAGATCTCCGGGTATCCGGTGCCTGACGTGACCCCCGGTGGGGCTCGGCCCCGATGCCAGCTCTGGAGCTGCAGAGAGCATCACTGTCATCACTGATCTGTGCCCCTCGCAGCACCGAGGAGCACACGAGGCTGGCAGCCTCTCCCACTGTGTGGCACGGTTCGCACACGGGGAAGCTCAAAGTCGGAAGCAGGCGTGCGGCGCAGGGTTTGCAGAAATCACCCATTTGTTAAATGCATGCTCGCTACTCCGGAGTGATCCGCCACCCTGTCTTTTCTTTAGTTTCTTGAACTTCTGCAGCCCAGAACTTAGGTGGACATAAAGAAAATCTGTACTCAGTCTCTAAAAGTATTTTGTTAGTATCAACATGCATCTGAGAAAAATTTCAGGAAGGGTGTAAGGTCAGGGGACCTAAAACTGCGTTCGCGCAGCCTCTTCTCAGCGCTGACGCTGGCGGCCGCAGCCAGCACCCTGCCCTGTGCACTGGCAGCTCTTCCTGTGGAGCAGCTTCACGGAAACGTGTAGCGGGGTCAAGAACCGCCATCAATGTGCACGCACTCAAGAGGGACAGGCTCTCCCCCCGCCCCGTCTCATGCAAAAGTCAGTGGCACCCTAAAAATCAGCCCGTTCCCATAGGTGTGCCAGGACTTTGACGTCATCCACACGAAGGTGTCCTTCAGAGGGGCGGCGGGGTGAGGCCACGGTAAGCAGGCCGTGGCCGGCCGGAATTTCGGCCTCACTTCCCCAAGTAACAGGAGCCTTTCTTCTGTCACTGCTTCCTCCAAAGAGCCAGCTGCATCACTGTGCTTGAAAGTCAAGAACAACAGTGCAAATATTCTCAAGCTCCCAAAGGGCAAGGTCCAACTGCAGCTCTACATCTCCTTTTGTTCCAGAGCGTAGATAAATCACATGGCAAACCCCACGTATCTTGAAATGTTGATCTGGGTTGAAAAGTTCAGCGTGATTAACTCCTGACTTTTGCAGCAGCCTTGTGGATCTTGGCCCGGAGTGGTGGACTCTTGTTTATTTGTTCATAAAACCTCTCCAGGGGGATGAGCGGTTCTGGGGTCTTTCCACTAAGGCGCATCGGAGAAAGGATAAATGAGTTTCGGTTTTACTCCGCCTGCTGTCAGGTCTGGCCTGAATATCCACAGTCTTTCTCTAAACGGCAGCTACAATATCTGAGCCCCTCACAAAGTGAAGTATTTCTTTTGCAGGTAAAGCTTTTATACAATAATGATGTTCTTCTCCACCCAGGGATTCACCCTCCAACTGAACACTTTTACTGCTGTTCCCACAGTGGCATCTGACGGAGAGAAGGGGAGGCTTTCTGCGGGTGGTGGGAGGAACGCTCTACAGAAAGAAGAAGTAGGATGAGCGTGCGGTCCGGGTGCACAGCATCCAGCTGCGGTTTGCAGGCTGAGACTCGGCATCTCAGCAGGCACAGGTTGGGCACAAAGGGTCAGGGAGCTGCTGGAGATCCGGGCGGCTGAGCTGGGTGCTGACCCTTGAATAAATGGAGAGACTGATAGTCCCGGGCTCTGGAATGTCCCGAGGCCGGGATGTTAAAGGCTGGGCCGCAGGGTGGCGTGGCCTTGGGGGAGGCCCTGATGTCCTGGGCGGTGCCCTCAGAGGGGACCTCGGGGCCCGTCCTCTCCCAGTGCTCTGCTGAGGGTGTCCGGCACGGTGTGCTGTCTTGCCACAAGCCTAACAGCAAGAAACTGGCCCAGGCACAAACCTCGAAAACCACCGGCCAGAATGACCTTTCCTCTTTTTATGCGAACCCTCTGGGCATTCTGTGATGGTGGTGCTGCAAGACATACCCCAGGCACAACCGGCAGGGGGGACGCCTGCCTTTAGACCAGCCAGGCAGCAGTCTGTCCTCGCAGGAGCCGAAGCTCTGGACGTTTAACGACTGTACTTGACACTGGAGTTCCCTTCCCCGTACTCAGAATGCCACCCCTGCCTGGAAGCCAGGAGCTATAGCCGGCGTGGTGTCCGGCAGCACAAGTCACACACCCCTCACTTCTGCTCAGAGCACAGGCCTCTGCTGCCCCAGACGGAAACCATCCCTCGACGGTCCTCAGCTCCTGCCTCTCCTCCGAAGGAGGCGTAAGGGAAGACAGGTGAGGCATACGCACTGGACGTGCTGCAAGATCCACCTGCAGACACAGCTGTGTCCATCAGCAGGGACATGCTGATGTTTATAACCATGGAGGAGGCTGGAAAAACCCCACTGGATCAGAAACAAATGCAGCACAGAAGAAACAGGAAACGCTGTGAGTTCCCTCAGAGGCTGGGAGTCTGGGGCCCCTAGAGGGCCCCGCAGCTACCCATCCATAACCAGCTCTGTGACTCTGAGAACAGGACTCACCCAAAGTGCTGTCCTGTGTGTCCTGCAGTGGCTGGCAGGTAAAGAGGCCAGAGACCTCAGAGCCATGAGGGCACTCGGCCATCATCTGGTCCGAAAAGTTCCCGAAAGTCCTGCGTACGGAGGGCATGGTCCCAGCTTCGCGCTACGGGGTAGGGGTGGGCCCACAACAGGAAGTCCTGCATGCACTCCAAGGGAACGCAGGGACCCCAGACCTTTCCTGTCAGTCTGTGTCCTGCATTCCCCACCATGATCCTGTGCCTCACCCAGGCCAACAGCAAAGGAGCCAATGCACCATTGAGTGAAACCCCGGAAGCCGTGAGCCAAAGCCAGCCTTTCCTTCCTGAAAGCTGTACTCTTCAGGGTTCTGTCCCAGTAACAGAAGGCAGACCAACACAGCATCCTGTCCCAGTCACTCTCTCATCACAGGGCGTGATACCCAACATTCACAGCTGAAAGGAAAGGTTTATGTTGGCTGTGGTTTTTAAAGGTTGTAACCCTGGCTGGCTGGCTGTAAGGCAGAAGTGGCACAGAAGGGCCCAGGTGGAGGAGAGCTGCTCACGGCATGATGGCCAGGAAGCAGGGAGAGGAGAAGCCAGAGAGGGAGAGGCCCCCTTCCAGCTGCACTCCAATGACCGCCTCTTCCCCCCAGGCGCTGCCTCCTAACAGGAAGGTGGCTACGCCTCAGCCGCGACCCAGTCGCCTTCCAGAGCTTGGCCTCCCGACACGGGGGATTTGCGGAACTTCCAGGTCTGGGCCATCACAGACCCAGGGCATCCCCCCTGGCTTTGCTGGTCTAAGGACACACTGAGAACCCTAGGCCAGGGCTCTGCCTGTACCCACTGGCCCAGCAGCAGGAACCAGCAAGGCCCTGCCACCCACACCACGCCATGCGAAGCTGTGAATCACTCAGGAGCCTGCCTGCTCCTCAGCCCCAGGAAGAAAAGAGCCCATTCACTCCCGGGACTCTGGGGCTCAGTGTCCATTATCCCGAACCACCCAGCTCATGTACACAGCCATCCCCAGTGTTTACCCAGCAGCACCTGCACCCTGCTCATCACCAGGAGGCAAACAGAGGCAGCACAGCAGGTCCCGGGAGGGTGACGCCGTCGGCAGGAGGGGATGGCGCGCGTGGGGCTGGGAGCCCACGGGTGCCGGGCCGGTGGGCAGGCTGGAGTGAGGCCCTGGGGGGCGCCAGTGAAGGTCACTGGAGACACAGCGAAGCCCCAGCTCTGGGGCACGAGGCCGGGTCAGGAGGGGCAGCGTGTGGGTACCTTGCAGTCGCAGCCGATGAGCTTGCCACACTCCTCGCAGGTGTTGGCATAGAGCTGCTCAAAGCAGCCCACGCAGTGCGGGCTCTCCTCCCTCAGCACATACTTCTTGCCGAAGAGGGACTCGTTGCAGTGGTGGCAGTCAAAGCGCTCCGTCATGGTGACACCGGCTCCTCAGCGGCCTGTGGAGAGGAGGAGCCCGAGTCAGTGGGCCTCACCACCCGCCACGCGGCGAAGCGCATCCTCTGTCGCCAACACTGCACCTTCCTGGGGAGTCCCCGGGGCTCACCCTCAAGGCTCCTGAGGTTCCATGGTACCTCTCCCCCACGGGGGGGCACTTTGGGGTCTCAGTGCCCTCCCTTCTCTCACAGTGCCAACTGTGGCTGGCTGCTCAGACGGAAAGTGGCATCAAGGAAAAGCTGGCATCACAGCCCCCCCTCGACCTGGCTGTCCGCGGCTTCCAATGCGTGGCCCTCGCCTGCTCTTCCCGTTCCCTCTTCCCCGAAATAGAAAGGCAGCATAGAAACAATATGTCCACGTCTATAAAAAGATTTTCCATGAGCTCCTTTATGATTCATGAGTGGGCATGGGAGGAAGGCACAGGGCGAAGTGGGGAATCTGCCCTCGGACGCCAAGGGAGCATTAACCTTGACACGACCTTGCGAGGCCTTGCGTGGGACACCGCCCTCGCACAAGGGACGCTACCCCAGGCCCTCAGGGAGAGTCCCTTCCCCAGATGAAAAGATCATTATCCTTCAGCTGCTTGGTACCCAGGAAGTAGGAGAGCAAGAACAACTCACTTCCAAAAACCTGGACTATTACTGGCTCAGGAACGCAGTGGCTATGGTCAGTGGGGCCCAGGCCGCTCTTGGATCTGCAACAAGGGACGGGAAGGCGCCTCCAAGGCAGACGCCACACTGTGCGGGAAGAGGACACAGTGTGGCGGATGGAGAGGGATGCCGTGCAGTGGAGGGGGGCACGGGGGGCCCTGGGTCCTTCCGATGAAGAACTCCGGACACGACACGTCCACCGTGGGGTACAGACCAATGTCTCAGGACGCTCAAAACACACAGTTGAGTTCCTTTGGGGATATTTTCTTAAGTGGCAATAATTAATGTGCGAAAAGTTAAGACTTTTACCAGCTGCTAAGCAGGCCCACTAAGGTTGGCTCTGTAACTCACACCACTATTTTGCAAACTCAATTCAATTTCCAGTCACCACAACCACTTGAGTGTGAAATCCCAGAATCAGACTCTCTGATGCACATGAAATACTGCTGCCTGGCTTATGGTTACAGGAAATTAGATCGTGTTTATTAATTTTATACTCTGTGATCCAAGGTCCCAGCAACTATAAGCAGAGACACGAACATCTTCCAAGCATCCAGGCTGGGTCAGCTCTGTGTTTATAGGATAATTTTCTTCCAAAGGCACTAAGGATGCAGCTGGACAGTGTGGCAAGATCTCTAAGTCACTCTTCCTGGAGTTAAAGACAACACTGTCTGGACATTCTTGCGCTAACATCTCTCCGTGCAGCCCGGAGCACTGGCATTATCGTCCTGAAACCCAGCGTGCACGGACCCTCTCTGCTGGCACTGCAGCCGCTGCTTCGGCAGAAGACCCATGATCTCCTGTGACTTCCATTACTGGCCTGGAAGGTGCCTGCCATTCATTTTCTCCCAGCTGAGAACTGTTCTTCCAGCCTCTGTCTTTCCAGTAAAGGCTGCCACTTAGGTGCGGAGGGAGGGCTTACTGCCTGTCTGTTCACACAAGCGGGAGACAGAGGGCTTAAACCCACACCCCGTAATTACCAAGTCAAATGCTTTTATTTTGGGCACAGGGGATCGAACCAAGGGCTTCCATACGTGAGGCAGAGAGCTGCACCACAGAGCTGCACTCCTGCCCCAAAAAAGTCCTTTTAAAAAGCAGAGTATTTACAGTCACACCAGGGATCCTAAGCCTTCTTTTAATGGGAAAAATACATGAGACGTTCCCTCTAACTTTGCCCTTGTCCAGCCTACGAAGCCCTTGGCCGTTCATTCACTCACTGGAGAGCATCTGTGACCCAAAAGGACAAGTCCATGGCAGGCAAGGCACCGGAACACAAAGACCAGGGGGCCATGGGCTGCTGCCCGCACAGCGGGGGCCCAGGGGCATAGGCGTCACACACAGTAGATCCCACAGGCCACTGGGCACGGCCAGCTACTCCACAGCAAGGACAAACGGGCAGCTCCAGGAGGCCAGATGGCCCAGCGGGCAGGGCTGAGAGAGGCAGCCAGAGACACGTCAGGGCGGGCAGGAATGGTTCTCTGGACGTTGCCTATGACCCCTGCCTGGCTTTTCTATTAAGACTGAGGCGACACAACGGAGGGGCGTGGACGCCTCAGTACCTAGGTGGTGCTGTCAGAGTCACCTCTGTGTCATTCCTCAAACAGAAGCGGACACCTTGGCTCCGCATGGCCCACCTACCCTGCCCGGGCTCCGTCTCCACCCTGCTGTGGGCCGGGCTCTGCCCCACTGTTCTCCGGCACACAGGAAGGCAGGGGGTCAAGGAAGACGCCCAACCCCGGTGGGACCACCGACTGGTGATCTCCCCAACCAAGCCAAACCCAACGACAGTGTGCTGGAGTCCTTAGCCCTGTCCGTGGGTCAGTCATCCTCTGATGTCACCCCTTACTGGCTCTGAGCCCCGGGTGCTTGAGAAAGCCAAAGAGGAGGGCAGGGGCTGGAGCAAGGACCAAGCTAGCTGCCCTGGGTGGGCGGGACCAGGGCTCATCTCTCTTGGCTTCCTTCAGGAAGCAAAGAAGCAGTGTTACCCATGCTGCACTAATACTAAAAATAATTAAAAAACACCAAATGTGATGGTGCACACCTGTAATCTCAGCGCTCAGGAGGAGAGGCATAAGGATTGCTGTGAGTTTGAGGCCAGTCTGGCCTACAGAAAGTGATCCTGTCTCAAAAAACAAAAAACAAAATAAATAAATAAAAAGGAGAGGGCCAGGGATATAGCTCAGCGGCACAAGTGCCTGCCTGGCAAGCGCAAGGTCCTGAGTTCGATTCCCAGTACCAAAAAAAAAAAAAAGAAAAGAAAAAATGTGCGAAGATGAAGCAGGGGCTGGTGTCCGCCTCTTCCTGTCCACTGGCCCGGGAGTTCCAGGCCTGCCCTTGCAGAGCGCGAGCCCCGGCCGGGCATCTCCCGTGCAGTCTTCCAGTTCTCCTCCCTTCAAGTAACTATTGACCTTCACTCGACCTAGGGCTGTGTTCTTGGAAGGGTTTCTCGCATCAGTGTTGCCTCCCCCGTGCCTCAACACACCCACTTCCTGAAGAGAAACCTGCGGACGTCCTGAGCCCTCTGCGCACCTGCGGACACAGCCGGCCCGGCCGGGACTCCGTGGGGAGCCCTGTGCAGACGGCAGTCCCCGGAGCTTTCTGTGGGAACAGCAGAGCCCGTCCCAAGGGGGCTCTTCTTCAGATCAGAGGAACGCAATGCTGCGCTGCCACACGCCACACGGAGCCCCGTGTCCCTCCAGCCCTCAGCACAGGGCAGGTGGGCTGTCCCTGTCACCAAGGCCTGGCCGCAGGTGGCACCCAGCAGGTGCTCCCTGAGTACTTGCAGAAAGCACGAGGAAAGGAATGGATGGGTGGAGGGTCACAAACATCCCCAAGTGCAAACCTATGGCAAAACTCAAGCTGGAAAGTGTGGACTGTCCCATGCGCACGGCCCGTTCGGTGCTGGGCACTCAAAAGCCAGTGTGGTCCGGGCCACAGACCCTGGCACGCTCTTCCACCCTCCCGCAGCCCTCCTTGGGACAAGCTGCCTCGTCCACACAGCGGGAGGACGCTGCCTGCTGATCTGGACTCTGACCCCGCGAGAACACACAGCTGTGCAGTCCAGGATGTGGCCTGGCGGGAAGCATCGGGAGGGGGTGCGGACCCCCGAGGCCCCACGCTCAGGATCCAGCAGGCAGGAGCTGCTCTGCAGTCTCAGGGTGGGTGTGGTGCACACCCTCCCTCCCTCGCCCCAGCTGCTCTGGTTACTCCCTGGATTGTTTCTTCAGTAGAAATTCCAGGGAAAGGGAGAGGGCGTTGGCAGAGGGGGTGCTGCTGTTTAAAAATAGAACAGTGTGAGGGCTGTGTGTGGCTCGTGGCATGGCACTTGCCCAGCACGCGTGAGGCTCTGGGTTTGATCCCCAGCATTAAAATAAAAGATTAAAAACAAAATGTAGCCAGAATCCACTCAAAATCACTTTCCAGATTATTGGATTGGAAAGGATTTTCAATTCTAAAGTATAAGACTGAACGTCTGACCAATGTGCACTCATCACGGGATCTCTCAAGGAGGCTTGTTGGGTACCCTGGTGGGGAAGGGTGTCGGAGGACACGCCACGCACAGTGGCAACTTTCAAAAATTAAAAACCATCTTGTAGCCAGCCTTGGTGGGGCACGCCTATAATTCCAGCACTTTGGAGGCTGAGGCAGGAGGACCTTCAAGGCCAGACTTCAAGGCCAGTCTGACTACATAGTGAGACCCTGTCACAAACAAAACAGTAACAACAAAAAAGAGATGAAAACTGTCTTGGCTAGTCTAGGCAGCTGTAAGATATGCTCTGTGGTCGACTGCAATGAACAATGTTCCATAAGCAAAACTGCTGTCTTAGGAGTTATCCTTTGAATACTAAATAATGAAAGACCCAGAAAAATTGTAAATGTCAAATTCCTGATCTGAATTCCATGAACACAAGAATGCTTGTTTTCTGATGGGCCTGGAACTTTTCCATCCACCCAAGGAGACTGCATGGAGCACCCCGTCCGTGGCAGAAAGAGCTCCAGCCCGGCTCTAGCTCCAAAGACCTGCGGTCACTATTGTGCCCTTTAATGTCAAAGCAGCTCAGCGGGCTGAGACCCCCTAGTGGTGCAGGCCAGGCCGGCAGGCTGCCCTAGGTCCACAGGTCACACAGGCCTGGGGACAGGACACCCGGGCAGTGCCACAGCCCTGCTAGGCACATGTGAGCTGCCACCCACCAGCACCACCTGCCCTCACCCGTGGGTCCCCCCTCCTCCACGACAGCAAGCTCACACTCCATCTGCCTGGCCTCTCTTTCCGGTTCCCTATGGCCAGGCCGCGACATCCCAGCCACCCTGAGCAGCTGGCCCACGACACACCTGAGTGGGGCATGCGCACCCCAGCGAGGCGGCCCTGCATGCTGCCTCGCGCACGCACACACGGAGGCCTCGTTCTGTGGGCTCTGACTTGGACCCTCAAACACAGCTCTGTCCTCTTTCGGGCCCACAAGCCCAGTGTTTGGGGCTCCAAGGACACTCTCGGGTGTGAACGCTGTTCCCATCCCGTGGCAGCAGCGCCCTCTCTTCCTGCCACAGACCTGGCACTGCTCACTTACTGCCAGGCACCAGAGGACCTCTTCAAGTCCCCAGCAAAATCAGGGCAGTACAGGTACAGACTCTGGAGCCAACGACGGGTGTGACCACATTCGATGACCCAATTCAGACGACCCACGGGAGCTGGGATGGGGTGAGCGGCCAGGTGCCGTGCAGACCTCTTGGGACCTCAAAATTTACAAATTTTGAGGTAATAACAAAAACAGAGCTCTTGAATTCTAAGAGCCTTATTTCTTGCGCGGCAGCTCTTAGAAGTCAGGGTCAGACGAGCAGAGTAGAGTCCGGTGCACAGTGGTGCGGTCCTCACCGCTCATCTCAGTAGAGTTCTCACCCGTGGGCATCGGAAAGCTGCAACCTGCTTCTCCAGGCGGTTTCAAAGCGAGAGCTGGGGAAAATGTCCTCTTACCTGCAGATGGCCCTCGGTCAAGACTGCACTGCACTGCCCTGCGCGGGTGCAGGGGCAGCACCTAAGCTGGGCGTGCGTCTCAGCTCACTATTTTCAACTTGTGCTGGGTTTGCTGCGATGCAAGCCCACTACATGCTGAGGTCACTGGCAGGGCAGGCCCAGGACAGCCAGCAAGGTTCCATCTGAGAGGCAGCTGGCCAAGAAGAGCTTACACTCTCAATCCCAGCCCCAAGGCCAGAAGGGGCAGATGCCCCAGCTCCAGAACCGGGAGGGAGGGAGTCCCTGTTACACAGCTGACTGGGACAGGACACAGGTATCTCCAGGGCTGTGGGCCTGCCCGGCAGGATGCCAACCCCTCCAGGAACTCGCAGGGACGCGCCCTAGACAATGTTTGGCTGAATGTCTGGGCACCTTGTGGCCCTGTCAGGTTGACTCATCCCGGGAGCTGAACTTGAAATCCACAACTCAGGGCGGTGGAAGAAATTCCCTGGACTCGCCCCAAAGTCAACAGGCTGGCCCCATCTGCTCGAAGACCAGCTCTTCATGGCTGGAGGAAGCACACATTCTGTTCAAGATGCTGCCCTGTTCTAGAGGAAGCGGCCTCTCAGCTGTACATTACCTGAGTGGGCACCTGGCTTGGGTGAAACTCTCCCAATAAAACCACACAGAAGCATCTAACGGCTCACACTGTCGTTCTCTCAGACCGCAGGAACTCTGTACCTCACGGCAGCTGAGACGACAAGGAGATGCTCGAGGGAGGCTAACTTTACAGAGAAAGAGGCCCATTAGGCTCCTGCTTCTGGAGATCCCACAGCATGTGACTGGACTGCACAGCCGACGGCAGAACCGTGCAGAGCAAGGTCACACTAGCAAACAAGAAGCAGAGAGAGGGACTAGGGTCCCCAGACCCCTTCTGAGGGCAGCGCCCCCAGCTGACCTAACAACTTCCTGCCAGGCCTCACCTCTTGAAGGTCCAGCGCTGCCACATTGAACACCTAGCTCCTGACAGCAGGACAGAGCACACAGAGAGGCTCAGGCCCCTGGGAAGTCGCAGGCGAGGAGCAGCCCTCGGGCGGGGTGGGGAGAAAGCAGGCCACTCAGGTTCTCTTGCGTACCGAGAGGCCCCTCTGCCGTAGCTTAGACATCCCTCAGTGCGAGACCTGGCAGCAGGCCACACAGGCGCCGAGGAAACACTGTGTCATCTGGGGCTGTCGGAGGACAGTGCTCGGGGCCGCCACTCTGTGCCTCAGTTTCCTCGTCTGTGAAAGTGAGGCTGTGGACTGTGCACAACCGCTACAACGTGCAGCCTTGAAGCAGCCCTGCCACAGAGGTGGGACCGCTGACCGTGTCCCACGGGGAAATGAGGCACCAGGGCACTTGCCCTGCACGTGCTAACCTGCCCAAAACCCTCGGGTCACTTGCCCAAATAAGGAGCCACAGCAGGGTGGGGCCAAATAAGGAAACTGAGGCACCAAGGCCAGGCGGGTGGAGGGGCCCAGAAGCCACTTTAGGGAGCCCCGGCCCCTGCCCCTGCCCCTGCCCACGCGCATCTGTGAGCCTGAGCTGAGCAGGCGGCAGCAGGCCTGAGGGCGCCAGCGGCAGAGCCCACGCCAGGCTTGCCGTGGAGCTGTCACAGAGGCGCGTCTGGGAGCGGGGCAGGATGCTGCGCACCGTGGAGACCCAGCTCTACTCACGCACGGCCTTTACAACACGCAGCGAGCAAAACCTGAAAACTGGAGGATTTTTTTTCTAGGAATACACAGAATGAGATGTTTTGCTTTGTGTCTGGTTGCACAGGCTTCTAGCTGTCGGCTGAGAATTTCTGTGCATCTAACTTCTTGCCAATGTCTTTGGGCCCAAGTCACCTTGAGGACACCCCAAAGCACCTCCCTGTAGTAGGTGGTTGTAAAACACACCTAAGCAGCGGAAGCGTGAGATGTACTTAGGATAGCGTTTTCGTCGGAACTGTGTGAATCACTGCTTCCCTGAATCCTCCGAACCCCTTCGAACCTGGTCCCATAGCCAGCCGTGCTCCAAGGAAATGGTCAGACCAGTGGAAGCTCCCACCAGCACTGGGAAGGAACCAGATAGACTCTTCATTTAAAATCAGAAGCATTTAACATTTCTTTCCACACTGAGTCATGCTAAGACATCATACATCCCAGTGCAACCTAACAATCAGACTTTTCCCTCTAAACTAAACCAAAGGCACCTGGTGGCATGGATTTTCCATTCCTGCAGGAGTCAAGGCTCCAGGTCGCTCAGGAACTCTGCTCTCCCTGCTGCAGGGGAGCTGGCACCTGCCTGAAGCCCACCGCCAGGAGGGGCCTCCTCAGTTCTGCCTTCCCAGGTCCCTGGGTCCCCTCCCCAGCAGCCCAGGGCTCAGACCCAGGTGTCTGGCACTCGCCCAAGGGTGGCTCAGCCCCTCCCGCACCGGGCGGGTACCCACCTGGCCAGAAGGCCTTGCTGCGCCCCTCTGGTCTGGGGATGGGTGGGTTCCTGGGACCCCCGGTTCGGGTTCCGGTCCTAGGTTCCCCCTCCCCCTGGGGCGCTGGCCCGAGCCCCACACGGTCCCAGCTCCGCTCCCGGGGTCTCGCTCTGGCCGGGTCGGAGCCGCCCGCGGTCGTCCCGGGTCCCCCGCGTCCCCGCGGGTACTCACACGGGCTCCAGGACGCGGCTGGCGGCTGGCGGCGGCGCGGGCGGGCA